GCTATCTTAGCCAAATGCCTGGTAAGGAATCCTAATTTTTTGTGAGGAAGCTTATTTAAGTACCTAGACTTCAATGACAAATTCTTAGGAAAAATTATATATTTTTGAGGAATGTGTCGTCTGACCTTAATAAATTGATTGATTGATTGTTTGTGTGTTTTATTTAAGGAATGAAGCTAATTTTAACTTATGTTATCTGATATAACATAACTTGGTTTACGCTTTATAAACCGTAATTATTCATTCTATATAGTTTAATTTCAGTGTCTACAGACAATTAGACAATATTTCTTCCGGAAAAAGGTGTCAAATTGAGCATTATTTAAGAAATAAATAACCTCCGAGATCGAGAAATGTTGTTTGAAAGATAAAAGCCGAGGCTTTTATATTTCAAACAACATTTCGAGACCGAGGAGGTTATTCTGCACCATTCACAACAACAAGGACTTTATTTCTATTCTACCAAAGGCGAAAAATACGGCTGATTGTTTCCTCTATAGAGAAACGAATTAGGTCACCATGTCTCGATTACGCTGTTCTATTTAACACCAGAGAGAAATTTTGTTGACTTACCTATATATGGAATGCAGACGATTTGAGATTTTTTGCATTAAAAATAGTCTTTATAAATTACAAATCTGTTCGTAATATGTATTGATCAGTTACAATGAATATACAAAAACAAAATCATGTTCTTCTTTTACTGCTAAAATCACGTTGTTTAATGTGTAGGGAGATCCGTGGAATAGGCCCGCTTAGCTATAAAATCCGACATTTATCAGCAACTTGATGCAATTTACAGTGTATATACTGCTAAAGATAACACATAGATGAGGTCTAAACAAATATTTCATTTTACAGCCAAACATGCATTTGAATTGTTCAGAGTTGATACGTGTTTCTGATCTGATAATATTTTGATGATGTTCGTGATTTATTGGAGAATAATGTCCAGAGGCTTCCTTTGAAGTTTTCAATAATTGTGGTAGAATTTAAAAGTAACGTTAAGCAGAGTAATACGTTTTTGACGTAACTCATTGTGACGTTGGCAAGTTATGTTATACAAAATATTATATGTTCCTTTGAATGATTCAGCCAATGAAATTGCTTGATACAAGTGAAATTAAATTATTTCAATTTAATTGATTATAAAGCAGGTAAATAGTGATGTCGTGATCATCAAAAATCTTGAATATCACAGTGATGCTTTGACCAGGCAACAGTTCATTCTGTGAGCCAGCCAACAGTTCGACTGTTTCATAATCATGCAAAAACATTAAATAAACGAGAAGCAGTTGAAAATGCCTAATAATAAATTATACAGTAGGTTAGGTAATAATGAATAAATATTGATTGTGGCCCTCAACATTAGCATGATTAGAGAAGTAGAATGGTACAAACAAGTCGATGCTCTTATGTTTGAATTTTTTTTATTAAGATTTTTCTCCCATCCATGATCCTGGTAGTTGCTGATGCCTGATGCTAAATTACATAGTTTGTTTAAATTAGAATGCAATAGTACCTGAACATAATTTATCTTTTCAGAGAGAAGAAAACTGACTTTAAAAGAAAACTGGTGAGATTAAATCATATGAAATGTATGATGAATCAGGATGTAATCATTTGGTAAGTGGTAGTTAATTCAATCATGAATTGGAATGTATAACAATTGCATGAAAAAAAAAATGATTCAAAATTTAATAAAACAAAAAAAATAAATTGAAATACTGAATTTTGGTTTACCAGCTGTGAGCTACAACAAGTTTTATGTAAAAGCTAGGGCTGAATCCATATGCCCCCTCAATGATACTGTGGAATCACAAATTTTCGTGGGGGGTTAATTTTCGTTGTTTTCGTGGTATGACAAGACCCACGAATTCATGTCCACAACGAAATGTAAAATTTCACACACATAAGTACTCATTAATTCTTGATCCACGAAATCAAATCCCCACGAACCAAGAAATTTTCCTTAAACCACGAAAATTTGACCCCACGAAAATATGTGATTTTACAGTATATGTGTATTGTTTTGATTGACATACATCAGTTATCTGATACATACAGTCAAACTTTGTTTAACTCGAACCTGAATTGAACAGGAAAGAACTTTGAGGTCAATGAAAATAGGAAAGTTAAATGCATATTTACTGAATCTTGCTGGTCAGTATTTTGTTGACTTTAAGGAAACACTGCACTCTAAAGAGCTCTACTTATAGGGAAGTTTTATGCAGTTAGAGTGATCTGCCCTAAGCCCTTAGATTTGAGATTTCTGCTTACAAATAGTTCTATGTCTTTTTGAACATTTTCCTGTGAAATGAGGCACATACAGTACCCTACTTATATTTATTTTGATAAGTTTGTAAATATATTTTTCATTAACAAAAAACGTCAAAATTGACAAATTGAAAATTTGACAAACAATTCATGTTTTAAGAAGGGGTACATTGGCCACTCTTGTTGCCTAAAGAAGATGCATCCACTTTCAATATTGCATGTTAAGCTATACCCTGTGATTTATCAGTTTTAAGTGAATTTGTTTAAGACAGAAACATATCATAGAAGAGGCCCATGGGCCACATCGCTCACCTGAGTAACTTGGCTGATGCAGATCTTTACCAGATTCCCCCTCTTGCTATACCTATCATGCCCAACAACCCCCTTCTCTTTTTAATCCCCTACCGGTGAAACCGGGGGGGGGGACTATAGGTATCCTCTGTGTCCGTTCGTCTGTCCGTCTGTCAGTCCCCATCAGTCTGTACAACTTGGTTTTCTGCACTTTTTTTCTAAACGCTTGCAGATATTGAACTGAATTTTGGTATGTCAGTTTATCTTAATGAGTTACAGATCAAGTTTGAATTTGGCTTCGCTTCATTGATTTTTGACAGAATTATGGCATTTTGAATATTTTTCAGAATCGCTTAATTAAGATGAGGTTCGAACTGCGCTAACTTCTGATTGTCAACAAAAAAGTTGAAGCAAGGAAAAGAGTATGGAAAAATGAGTTGAATTTTAGTCTTAATTTGGATTATTTTATTAGTTTTAAGGCATATACAACTTGAATTTCAGTTTTACTTGGACACGATTTTTGCACAATATAAAATGACATATAGGAGAAAAAGGGGAACCCAGTAGGGGACATGTATTGCTTATGCAATACTCTCAGAATGCTTGTTTATTTTAAAACGTTAGAATCTACACTACCCAAGGATGCTTCCACATAAGTTTCAGCTTTCCTGACCCAGTGGTTCTTGAGAAGAAAATTTTTAAAGATTTGTTCTATGTATTTCTATGTAAAACTTGGATTCCCTATTGTGGCCCCACCCTACCCCAGGGGGTCACTATTTTAATAATTTAATATGTACACTACCCAAGGATGCTTCCACATAAGTTTCAGCTTTCCTGGCCCAGTGGTTCTTGAGAAGAAGATTTTAAAAGATTTGTTCTAAATATTTCTATATAAAACTTGGATTCCCTATTGTGGCCCCGCCCTTCCCCAGGGGGTCATGATTTTAGCATTTTTTAAATATCTACACTACACTACCCAAGGATGCTCCCACATAAGTTTCATCTTTCCTGGCCCAGTGGTTCTAGAGATTGATTGATTGTTTGTTGTTTAACGTCCCTCGAGAGAATTTATCACTCATATGGAGACGCCACCAATTGCCGGTGGAGGGCTACAAATTTTGTCCTATGCTTGGCACTCAGGGCCTTTGAGCCGTGAGGATCTTTTTCATTGCAGCACCTACTGCGACATGGGGCCTTGGTTTATACGGTCTTATCAGAAGGACCAGTCTCCATGCCCCACAGTGGAATTCGAACCCGCGACGTAAGGAGTGACTCCTTACTTCGCGACTCTAGAGCAGACGCTCTGATCACTGTGCCACTGATTCCCTATTTTGACCCCGCCCATAACCCTGGGGTGTCATGATTTTTTTAACAATTTAAGTCTACTCTACCCAAGGATGCTTCCACTTAAGTTTCACCTTTCCTGGCCCAGTGGTTCTTGAGAAGAAGATTTTTTGTTAACCCCAAACTATTTTTGTCTTTTCTTGATTATCTCACCTTGTAAGGAGACTTGGCCCTTCATTTTGATAATTTAAACTTCCCTTCACTCAAGGATGATTTGTACCAAGTTTGGTTAAAATTGGCCCATTTGTTCTTGAGAAGAAGTCGAAAATGTGAAAACTTTACAGACGGACGGGCAGACAGACGTCTAGCTGTCCATCCGTCCTTCTGTCTTTTCTGTAAACTTTTCACATTTTCGACTTCTTCTCAAGAACCAATTGGCCAATTTTAACTAAAATTGGTTCATAGCAACCTTGGCTGAAGGGGAGTTTAAATTGTTCAAATGAAGGACCAAGTCCCAAGTCCAAGGGCAGGGCCACAATAGAGAATCCAAGTTTTACATAGAAATATATAGAACAAATCTTTAAAAATCTTCTTCTAAAGAACCACTGGGCCAGGAAAGCTGAAACTTATGTGAAAGCATCCTTGGATAGTGCAGATTTTAAAGTTTTAAAATCAGAAAAGGGAAGGGGGTAGTGCGGCATGATAGGTATAGCAAAATGGGGAATCTGGTAAAGAACTGCATCACCCAAGTTACTCAGGTGAGCGATGTGGCTCATATGGGCCTCTGGTTTTTAGCTCACCTGAGCCGAAGGCTCAAGTGAGCTTTTCTGATCAAAATTTGTCTGTTGTCGTTGTTGTTGTTCGTTGTCGTCGTCGTTAACTTTTCACATTTTCATCTTCTTCTCAAAAACCACTGGGCCAATTTCAACCAAACTTGGCACAAAGTATCCTTGTGTGAAGGGGATTTAAGTCTGTTCAAAATAAGGGCCACACCCTTTTTTCAAGGGAAGATAATCATGAATTAGAGAAAAATTAATGGCATTTTTAAAAAATCTCCTTCTCAAGAACCACTGGGCCAGGGAAGATGAAACTCATGTTGATCATCCTCAGGTAGTGAAGATTCAAGTTTGTTCAAGTCATGACCCCCGGGGGTAGGGCGCGGCCAAAATGGCTGATCAAAGTTTTACATAGGAATATATAGGAAAAAATCTTTAAAAATCTTTTTCTCAAGAACAACTGGGCCAGGAAAGATGAAACTCATGTTTCATCATCCTCAGGTAGTGTAGATGCAAGTTTGTTCAAGTTATGACCCCTGGGGGTAGGGCAGGGCCAAAATGGCCAATCAAAGTTATACATAGATAAATATAGGAAAAATCTTCAAAAGTCTTCTTCTCAAGAACCACAAGGCCAGGAAATATGAAACACATATGGAATCATCCTCAGGTAGTGAAGATTCAAGTTTGTTCAAGTCATGACCCTGGGGGGTAGGGTGGGGCCAAAATGGCCGATCAAAGTTTTACATAGGAATATATTGGAAACAACTTTAAAAATCTTCTTTTTAAGAACCAATGGAAGAAGAAAGATGAAACTCTTGTGAAAGTATCCTCAGGTAGTGTAGATTCTAGTTTGTTCAAGTCATGACCACAAGCAAGGGTGTGGCCAAAATGGCCGACCAAAGTTTTACATAGAAATATATAGGGAAACCTTTTAAATCTTCTTTTCAAGTACTTCAAAGCCAGGATTAGTTATATTTGTATGGAAACATCCTAAGGTAATCTTGATCCCCTTGGGGGTTAAAATTCAAGCCCCCCCCCCCCCCCCAACTTAAGTTACTTTAAATTCTTATCTGATATGTGTTTTTTCCTAGCTGATGTGCTCAGGTGAGCGCTGTGGCCCCTGGGCCTCTTGTTTGTGTGTGTGTGTGTGTGTGTGTGTGTGTGTGAGTGTGTTCAGTTTGTTATATTTGAGCTTTTATATATTTTAGAGGCATTCACCAATGTCATTACTAATGACAAACAGGAGAAACGGAGACGGGAGAATGGAAAGACTGATCTTCTCAGACAGCAGTCAAAAAAGCAAAAGAAAGCGTTCAGTAAGTCTAATTTGCTAAAAACTATATGAAAAAATGATCTTTTGGGATTTATTTTTAAACTAATCAGCCTACATATCAAAGATACTTGTTAATTAATAGTCTTCTTTCATCATGTGTAGCAGGTTTGTAGAGGAGTTCAATATTCTTTGAAATTTATGATATTTTGTGTCAATCGGAATTTTTACAAAACTAAGGTCACATAGTTCATTATCATTGATACTTGTATGTAGATATGTTTTTAAAAAGTCTGAATGATTAACTATGCGCTTTTTCCCTCAGAAACTGGAAAGAAGAAAGAAGGCTGTGGAACATCTTAAGTTATCTACATGAGTCATTGCCCCAACATCTAAAAAGAACTTGACGGAGTGCCTTCAATTGGACATAACTTCACCCGAGAAGACTGATGACAAAAACTCAACAAAGAGGGTCAGGCTTCCATTTCCCTGGAAATCAGCCAAACTGTGCAAGGGAAAAGAGGCACTGGACAAGGCATATAGACACAAGGTCCTGAAGACCGAATCTGCAGATGCCAGTTGGTATTTGTAAAGGATGGTAGAGAGGACACAACAACACCTCCCACTGAGAAGTGTCCCCTTTAGGCCATTTCCAGGGATTATTCCTCATAGAGGTAATTAATTTTCTCAGATATTCATTAGCTCTTCTCAGGTGTGAGTCATGCGGTGTGCGTTAACTTTTTAGCTCACCTGAGCCGAAGGCTCAAGTGAGCTTACATGTATCTGATCAAAATTTGTCTGTAGTTGTCTGCCATTGTCGTAGTCATTGTTGTTGTCATCATCGTTGTCGTCGTCATTAGCTTTTCACATTTTCATCTTCTTCTCAAGAACCACTGGGCCAATTTTAACCAAACTTGGCACAAAGTATCCTTTGGTGAAGGGGAATCAAGTTTATTCAAATGAAGGGCCACACCTTTTTCCAAGGGGAGATAATTATGAATTAGAGAAAAATTAATAGCATTTTTAAAAAATCTTCTTCTCAAGAACCACTGGGCCAGGAAAGGTGAAATTATTTGGAATTATCCTAAGATAGTGTAGATTCAAGTTTGTTCAAATCAGACCCCCGGGAAAGGGTAGGGCCAAAATCGGCGACCCAAGTTTTACATAGGAATATATAGGAAAAATCTTTAAAAATCTTCTTCTCAAGAACCACTGGGCCAGGAAAGATTAAACTCAAGTGGAATCATCCTCAGGTAGTGTAGATTCAAGTTTGTTCAAATCATGACAGGGCTCGACATTAACTTTTTAGGTCACCTGAGTAACTCAGGTGACCTATTGCATGTATCTCAAGTACTTATAGGCTTAGAATTATGAAACTTTGTCAGTTGATGCGTCTTGGGTTTTCGGAGATCACGGATTAAAAAGTAGGTCACAGTGACCTACTTTTGACATTTTATGGCTTTATTAAAGTATCTCAGGTACTTATTGGGTTAGAATCATCAAACTTTGTCATTTGATGCATATTGGGTTTTTCGAAGCATGTTTACCAAAATGTAGGTCACAGTGACTTACAATTTCGAATATCTCAGGTACTGATTGGCTAAGAATCATCAAACTTTGTCAGTAGATGCATCTTGAGTTTTTGGAGAATGTTGCCAAACAATTGGTCACCATGACCTAATTTTATGACTATATTTAAGTACCATGGGTACTTACTTGTTTAGAATCATCAAACATTGTCAATTCAAGCATCTAGGGTTTTCCGAGAATGATGATTGAAAAATAGGTCATGGTGAACTACTTGTGACATTTATTGCTATATTTAAGTATTCTAGGGTACATATTGGCTTAGAATTGTCAAACTATGTCAGTTGATGCACCTTGGGTATTTGGAGAATGCTGACCAATAAGTAGGTCACTGTTACCCACTTTTGAATATCTCAAGTACTTACTGGCTTAGAATCATCAATCTTTTTCAATTAATGCATCTTGTGTACTCAGAAAATTTAAATCAAAAAGTAGGTCACCATGACCTTCTTATAGTATTTTATAGTTACATTGAAACAATGTTAAATATCTTCAGACTTAACTGGGTAAGAATCAGCAAACTTTGTCTGATGATGCATCGTTATACCCCTGCAAATGAATTTTACGGGGTATATTGGGATCACCATGTCCGTCTGTCTGTCCATCTGTCTGTAGACAAGTTTTTATCCGTTTCTCAGAAACTGTTGGATGGATTAGTCTAAAAATTTATACACTTATTATTCACCATATGAAGGTGTGCACCTGGTATTTTCATCATGATTGAATGATTTTTCTGCATTTTACAGGCATTTTTTAGCTCACCAAGTGAGCTTTTCTGATCACATTTTGTCCGTCGTCTGTCTGTCTGTCCATCCGTCCGTCTGTCTGTCCGTCTGTAAACTTTTCACACTTTCGACTTCTTCTCGAGAACCACTGGGCCAATTTTGACCAAAGTTGGTACAAAGCATCCTTGGGTAAAGGAAAATTTAAATTGTTAAAATGAAGGGACATATCCCATTGCAAGGGGAGATACTGTAGATCACTAAATTTTTGCGAGACCTTATTTTCGCGAGATAGTCATTGACTCTTGATTAACGAGACATAATTTTCGCGAATTGCGGTTATTGCTTTATATATTCATAAGGAATACTATTATACGCGAGAATTAAATTTTCGCGAGCACACTGTCTCGCGTAATTACGCGAAAATAAAGTTCTCGCGAATAAAAAGTGATTTACAGTAATCAAGGAAAGACAAAAATAGGGTGGGGTCATTAAAAAATCTTCTTCTTCTCAAGAACCACTGGGCCAGTAAAGCTGAAACTTATGTGGAAGCATCCTGGGGTAGTATAGATTCTAAATTGTTCAAATCATGACCCCCAGGGGAAGGGCGGGGCCACAATGGGGAATCAAAGTTTTACATAGAAATATATAGGAAAAATCTTTGAAAATCTTCTCAAGAACCACTGGGCCAGAAAAGCTGAAAATTTTATGGAAGCAACCTGGTATAGTGTAGATTCTAAATTATTCAAATCATTACCAATTGTGAAATTCACCTGAGTCAATCAGGTGACCTATTGCTATCTGTTTTTGTCCGTCGTCATCCGTCGTTCGTCTTTCGTCGTCAATCGGTCGTAAACTTTTGAACTTTTTCAGCTTCTTCTCTGCAACCACTGAACCAATTGCAACCAAATTTGGTACAAAGCATCTATGGGTGAAGGGCAATAAGAATTGTGAATTTCATGATCCCTACCCCCCTGGGGCCTGGGGGGTGGGGCCAAAACCACTAAAATTAATGAAATCTTTAAAAATCTTCTTCTTTACTCCTGGACATCAAACAGTCAAACTGTTTGCATGATTGTAATCAGCATTGAGTCCTCTATCAAAATTGTGAAATTCATGGCCCTGGGGTCAGGGGTTCTTGTGCTAGGGCGGGGCTAAATAAGTATATAGTGAAAATGCATTATTTCTTTGAAAAACTTCTTTTCTGCTCCTGAATATTAAATAAACTAACTAAGTACATAGTTTTAATGAGCAAGAGTGCCTCAACAAAAATTGTGAATTTTATGGCCCCAGGGTCAAGGGTTCTGATGTTAGGGCGGGGCTCTATTGATTATATTGAGAAAATACATGAATTCTTTGAAAATCTTCTTCTTTAATCCTGGGCATTAAAAAAACTAACTAAGTAATATATAGTTATGATGAGCAAGAGTGCCTCTACCAAAATTGTGAATTTGATGGCCCCAGGGTCAGGGGTTCTGGTATTAAGGCGGGGCTGTATTGATTATATAGTAAAAATACATGAGTTCTTTGAAAATCTTCTTCTCTGCTCCTAGATTTTATATAATTTAACTAAGTACATAGTTATGATGAGCAAGAGTGCCTCTACCAAAATTGTGTATTTTATGGCTGCAGGGTCAGGGGTTCAGGTTTTAGGGCGGGGCTCTATTGATTATATAGTGAAAATACATCAGTTCTTTGAAAATCTTCTTCTCTGCTCTTAGGTTTTAAATAAACTAAGTACATAGTTATGATGAGCAAAAGTGCCTCTACCAAAATTGTGAATTTTATGTCCCCATGCAGGGTCAAGGATTTTGGTGTTAGGGCGGGGCTGTATTGATTATACATGTATAGTGAAAAAACCTTGAATCTTTGAATATTTTCTTCTTTGCTCCTAGGTTTTAAGCAGATGAACTACCTATATAGTTATGAGTAATCCATAATCTTCAAGAATTGTAAATTTCAAGGCCCCAGGGTCAATTGTACCATAGAGGGGGGGGGGGGGTCTGTACTTATATACTGAAAATGAATGAATTGTTTGTAATGTGCTCCTTGGTATTAATCAAATATTTTTGAAAAGCAAGGATGCCTTTCCAAAAATAGTGCAATGTGAGGATCTGGCCTAAGAGTCAGGGGTTCATGTGTGGTAGTGGCACTACTGTTATTGCTGAATATTACTGATTAGTTGAATTGCATTTTTTTTTTAAGTTCCCCTACCCTGCCTATGGATCAAATTCAAGCACTGGAATGTTGTTGAATAATGCTCAGGTGACCTATAAGGCCCATGGGCCTCTTGTTATTTTGTGATTTTGTTTGGCTCATAACGAAAAACTATTAGACTTACAATCATCAAACTTGGACAATTTATGCATCTTGGGTAGACAGTGTGTCACGACCTATTTCAAGGTCACTGTGACCTTTAATTCAGGTGATTTTTTTTTTTAAAATGTCTTTAAAATTTTAAATTTTATAATCCTAAAAAATGTAAAAATATAGTTGTATCCTTATTAAAAATGCTAAATTAAGTAAAAACTTATTTTTTATCATATACTTTACAGCAAATTCTGTAACAAATGTTAATGATTTGAAAGGAATTCAGTTTGTCCCATGGGCATAATTATCAAGCACTGGTCAAGGAGAAATTTTGATAGCAGAAATGTGCATGTCAAATTAGAGAGAAATTAATGAGTTCATAATTTTATTCAGAATATAAATGTTACAAAGCATCATGCTGTGTTATCTTAATTTATGTCTTGGTACAGAGTTGGGCAAAAAGAAATGACCTTATACACAGTTTTGTGTTAATTAAGAGTTCTTGATGGCTTGTAGTTCAGATAAAGATCTTTCAATTGGTGTAATGTAATTAAAACAAATTGTGTGTTTAGTTTATGATTAAAACTGAATTAGTATTGAATAATTCTAATTGAAATTAATTGTACATGTGTTCATTTAAATAAAAATTGCATTTCAATTTTTATATATTTGCAACAAATTGCAGTCTTGTCTCACTTAGAATTTTATAGTCTAAAGAATAATTAATTTCTGATTTTTTTTATTAGACTGTAGCATTTCCATATATTTCATAAAATATGCAATAAACAATTGAAAGCTGAGATTCATATTTGTTAAGCTCTAACACATTTAACCATTCTAGAATGTATATGATACTTATTATTTGTTTTAATTTTCAATCCATACATTTAGTCTCTTAGAGATGTATGGACCTGTTACAATATTTTAAGCATCATAAGAAATATATTCGATCATTGAAATCTGTGTTAATCTGTTTATCAAGGTTACTTGATTTTCTTGCATATCCCTTATCAATTTATGATTATTGAAAAGTTTGTTGGGCAATGGTCGATCATATTTGTGGCGGGGCACTTTATTAGACAATAGTGAACACCTCTTACAAGATCCATAAAATATTTCTGTATTGGCACCTACTCTGAAAAACCCAGCGGGGGTATTTGTCCCTATTGGACAGTTCTAGTTGGTCTTGTAAAATTTATCAGAAGAGCGATTCAAGGCCCATGGGCCTCTTGTTTATTTTTACCTTTCATATTTTTGTGTTAAACATTTATAAATTCATTTAACTTCCCTTTTAAGTGAACAAAAAGATCAATACCATTTGAAATATTAAGGATGTGTTATTTTTTGCTTGGAAGTACTGAAGTCTGATTATATTGAAGCATTTTCTATGGCCTTCTTTTGATGATAGTGTAGGGTCTCCGTGTCTAACCAATTGTGTACTATTATTATAAGAAAAGGAGCAACATCAAACAATAGTAGGGTAAAAATACACGCCAATGTGACATCTTTTTGGAAATTATGCCTGTACATCCTTAAATAATCTGTGGATCACATCTTATCTTTGAATCTGAGAGAATCAGATTTTGGAAATTTAACATATCAGATGTTTTTATAATAACTCATATCCTTATGACCAGAAAACTTGGTTTTTTGATGGAGATAAGAATTAATTTACAATCATTTTAATTTGTGGGGGTCTATTTTTGTGGGTAAGAGAAATTTTGTTGGTTCTTGGGAATGTAATTTTGTAAGTAATTAGTATATTCAGAAGATTCACTGAACAAAACTTTTCTGTTGAAGATTTTCTTCCCAACTTCCTTAGAAGGACAGCTTATTCAATGAATGGGATGTATTATAAACACCAAAATATTACTTAAGCTAAATTTTAACTATTTTTTCATTCCTTGTAGGTCAAACGAGGATTCAGCTATCAAAAGAAAACAAGAAAAAGAACTTTTTTAGTTCTTTGATTAGGGATTTCCAGATCTAAATATTGATAGTTGTTTTGGTTTTTTTTAATGTACCTGTAATCAACAGTTCAGGGTATATAGTTTTTGCATTGTTGGTCTGTCTGTCTTCAAAAGTGTAAACCAGGCCTAAAGCTTTTGAGTGATGGGGCAACTGATTTCACAGACGTATTTTTAGTGACCAGACTTGTTTACCTCTTTACATGGACCTTTGAGTTTCAACCACTTTTAACAAAAAAATTAAACTGTATTCTTGGCCACAACTTTCAAATAGTTGATGCTTATTGCATTCCATTTGACAAGACTTTCAACAGGTATAAATATTTTTTGACATTGACCTTCAAGTTGGACTTTTAAAATATTTTAACCTTGGACAGAACTTTTAAAAGTACTAAGGCTTTCATTTCAACAGTGAAAAAACCTTTCTCTCGATACCAACATTTTTTACCTTGACCTTTGACTTGCAAATAAGAAACT